TTAATCTTTATCAGTTTCAATGACAAGGACAAGTTTTAACTCTAGAATGTAGTTTCTCGTGAACCATTGGGACACTCAAGTTGTCCACCTTTCCACCGAAGGTTCACTCTAGTCCAGTTCAAATAATAATCCAATCGAGTAATGACAATCCAGTACTCGGGAATACGCTTGTCTCTGTTTCAGAGGGGACAGCTCTACCGCGATTGTTACTCGATCGTTCTGATTTCTCTTTTTCGGTTTTCAGTTATCGCGAGAAAATCGTGCATGACAGGCTCCATTCGAATTTTTGAAAAATCAAATTTCACTCCAAAATTAAGCGTACTTGTTTTTCTCAAGGTCAAACTTCCAAATATGACCAACTGGCACAGAACCCTTGGATTATATTCCTAAATCCTTTGTTATTATATCAGGAAAGAGAAACCGGGCTTGAACACGCGCGATGAGTTGAGGAGCAGGGAGTTAACACTGAAAATTTAGTCCCAAATTATTTTAGGTTTTTTTTATTACAACTTAAATTTCTAAATCGAAATTATGACTCAGAAACTTCCAGACAAAGTTAAAAATTGTTTAATTAATGTGGTAGTAGTAGTAGTAGTAGGGCTTTTCTGCTCGTAGCACAAGGGGTTTCCCCCTTTCAGTTTTTCGTTCTATAGTGAAGTTTTGCTTCTACAGTCATTCATTGTGCAATCGCAAGCAATTCTCCATGTGCACTTGTTCATTTGTTCGTAGTCCTTCTCAAATTTTCTCCAAAATAACCACAATATTCGCTTCTTCAGTCTGCTTGTTTCTCTCACGTCAATTTTGATCACATTCGCTAGCCGACATGTTTGGTAAAAGAATTCGTCCTCCAAAAATTTCTTTTTCGGCCTCTCGAGCTAAAACATACAACCGCGCGAGGAACAGGAATACGATGGATATTTCAACATGTCAACATCATAACTTTTCGATAAAATTTTTGACAGCAACAAAAGGTTGTTGATCTGTATATACATTGGCAGTGGCAATAGTGAAATTTCGATTAACCGATCTTTGTACGAATCCATATGCGGAATTATCCATTTAACTATACGCCTTTGTACATTTTCAAGCTCCGTAATAATGTATTTACTTAATCCATAACATGGACTTGCGTACGTGAGTATTGGTACGATCATAGATTTATACAAATCCAGTTTAGCTTTTTGTCCAAGATTCGATACGCTTCTTTTTATCATGTGAAAAACACGAATTGCTTTGCAGCAAACCTTATTTATATGCAAATTCCATTTTAAGTCACAGGAAAGCATGAGCCCCAAATCAGATTGAGTTTCCTCTGTTTTAATCAATTCGTTTCCAAAAAGCAATCGTTTTTCGTTTTTGGACATTTTAATTAGGCAGCATTTATCCATATTGAAGGGCATGTTGTTTCTAACGGTCCAGTCATACAACGCATTTAAATCACTTTGAATATCTATTGTGCTTAAACCCACGCTGAGAAATTTGGCGTCATCGGCAAAAAGTAGGGGAAACAATTGATCGCACATTTTTGGGAGGTCGTTAACAAAAACCAGAAAAAGTATGGGGCCCAAAATACTCCCTTGCGGGACACCGCTAGTAACTTGTATTGGTGACGAGTTTACTCCATTTATACGCACGACTTGTACTTGATTTGTCAAGTATGATTCGATTAGTTTCAGTAGCTTGTTTCTGATGCCCGTTTCAAAAAGTTTTTTCAAAAGCATACCATGATCCACTCTGTCAAAAGCTTTACTGTAGTCAGTAAAGATTATGTCAACATCATGTTGACTTTCAATGCCCTGGTACACTTTTTGCAAAAAGATTATCAATTGGAGAATCGTTGATCGTCTTTTCCTAAAGCCGAACTGAGCTGCGTGAAAAAAAGAATGGTAATGATCGTAAAGTCGTCTAAAAATAATCCTTTCTAAAATTTTCGAAGCTATTGATAACAGAGATACCGGTCTGTAATTTGTAACTTGGCATTTATCGCCTTTTTTAAATAATGGACTTATAATTGCTTGTTTCCAATCGTTTGGAAAAATGGCTGTTTGGAAAATTTTTCTGAATAACTGTGAAAGAGAATGAGAAAGAGTAATGCACAATTTTTTATACACTATTGGTGGAATTTCATCGGGTCCTTTACTCTTGTTTATGTCCAAGTTCATGCAAATTTCAATTACTTCCTTTTCGAAAAAATTTACAGTGGTAATCGATTTTACGCATTCTTTTCCATTACACCCTTCAATAAATTTTGTCGATTTTGTATACACGGAAGAGAAGAAGATAGAAAATAGTTCTGATTTACCCTTGTCTGTCTCCTCCGAGACAGACTCGTAAAACATTTTCCGCGGGAGATTTGACTTCCTAAATGCTTTGAAATACTTTAACAATTTTGACGATGCTCGTTCTGCAGCCAGCTCTTGTTCGTATTCAACTTTGTCAGTTTCTGCACTGGTATCAACTAAATCAGCTAATGCTATGACCTTGTCATGAAATTCTGGAAAATTCTTCCGCGCAGTTTTAAGGCACTTAATGTAATGCGATGTTTTTTGCGTAATCCACGGTGGTAGCGACATTCTGTGCGCTGTTCTCCTCGGTACATTCTGAGATATTGCGGTATTGAGCCAGCTATACCATAATTCTAGAACTTTATTAGGATTCGACCAACAGAAAGGTTCGAATTTCGTTTTATTCAACGTTTCTCGTAGTTTTCCAAAATCGCCTTTACAGTAGCTATAAATCAAATCTTTGCAGCAATTTCGCTGCAACAAGGACGATATTTCAACGTTAAACTTAACTTTGATAGGGAAATGATTCGAGAGTTTGCTAAAATAGTTATCCCTTTGAATGTCTTCAATATTCACTATCTGTATGTTTTTTCCCACTAAAATCAAATCTAGAATACCAGTTGCAGCAGTTTGGAACGAGATTTTTTGTTGCAAACAATATCGATCAATTATATCAAGAAAAATATTTTCTTGCTCAACAGCAGATGAAAGACTCGTCCAGTTTATTGTTGGGAAATTGAAATCCCCGTATATTATTACTTCATCAAAATTATTTTTGATTTTTTGCAAAGATTTAAACAAGTTTTCAATATCAGCGTTCGTGTAAGCGTAAGTACTGTTTGAGGGTGGTAAATAACAGCAAACAATAAGTATTTTCTTTTTGCATAAACAAATCAGGCATGCAGTTACTGAACTAATCTTAGAGGTATTTCCCTGCTTCTTCGCTCATTGCACCATTAGTTGCCAAAATGAAGGGGGGTGAAAGAGGCATGCTCTACCTGCTAAGAAAGGGGCATGATCTACCTGCAAAACCCTGTCGTGATACTCCTTTTCCTTTTGATTCTCGTGTGACTTGAGCAGTGGTGTCAGCTTCCTCGATCTATTGCTGGGAGCATTTGAATGGGTAAATCTAATGTTCAGAAACACCTTCTGGAGTGGAAATTCTGAAACTTAACCTATCTTAAAACATTAGGAAACCTGTAACCTACTGATTACATTGGGAAACTTATTTACTTTCTTAAAAACCTTGCTGGGAGAGCTATTCCCTATCTTAATACACGTGGGTCTCCCAGTACCCCCTTCTCAACTCTGCTCATTGTTCTACTACCCCTGGTCATACTGAATAATAATAATAATAATAAATTGGATTTACAACACAAGTTGAGGGGAGCGTGTCCCGAATAAACATATCAAGTTATGCAACCGCTGCATCTGCAACCTATTCTCCATGAACATAAATTATTTTCTGTATAGTTTGTGTCAAAATGGTTCCAGAAAAGGCGAAGAAGTATGGGTTTCAAGCCAATAGGCTTGGTGACGTCGATAGAAAGCATGAATCGAAGGAGTCTTGATGTCCGAATGAAGAATTCCTAATGAGAGAGTTCGAGTCGCGGTTGACGCGATATCGGAATCATTCTGCTTTCTCTTTGGGGACCGTGTCTCAATTCTACATAATCTTCAGGGCTGATGGTATATTGTCCGTTGCATATCTTTGATAGGGTCAGGATGTCCAGAAGCTGTAAATAAAGTGGGATAGGTAAAAGTTCTAGCACAGTCAGACGCTCTTTGTAGTCGATGATATGTGGTAAAATCCATATACTGACCCTCCGTTGAAGTTGCTTCAGTTTTCTCATGTCACCCCTGAAGCATTCCAGCATGGTGAAGCGTAGCAGAGGATTGATAGAACTGTGCTCTTATAAAGGTTCATCTTGGCCAGAGTGCTTAAGCGTATTGACACGTTTCTCTTTAGCATGAAGAAAGTATTGTAGGCTTTCCCCAGACGCTTCGAAATGTGTTCCGACCAGTTAAGAGCACTACAAACAGTTACTCCAAGATCCCGATGGGACATTTCCTTTCTTAAAAACCTTGCTGAGGATGTTCTATTCCCTATTTTAATACATGTGGGTCTCCCAGTACCCCCTTTCCAACTCTGCTCACTTTTCTACTACTCCAGGTCATAGAAAGAGCTTTTTTGTCCAGAGTGGGGGGGGGGTTATTTTGGTAGTGGCCTTAAAGGTGAAACGATATAAAGTTCCATGCCTTAATGAACCACGAATTGGATCCACTTTAATGAGGAGAAAGTGTCTCTGGCCCTCGAGTCAAGTGTGACTTCACTGAACGACTGTTACATCACATAAAGCTCAATGTGAAAAATTCAAGCCCTTACAAAAATTGGGAACCGATAGATTAGTGTATTTTTTATTCAACTGGGGCGTTATTGTATGACCAAATAACTTTTTTGAAAAGATTAGTGTATTTTTTAGATTCAACTGGCGTTATTGTATGACAAATCAATTTTGTCAAAAAAAAAAAGAACTGCTGGAGAATGTAAATAAGATGAGATGATTGCTTTTAATTAGTCGCATTGCTTGAAAATTAAAACTTTAATGAAAATGCAATATCCAGCTGGCTCAAATCAAATGTAAATGTTTTTTAAATGATTCGAATATTAGCTAATCAGGAATAAACCTGTTGAAAAATGACTGTTTCAGAAAAATGTCAAAGAATTGGGCAGACCGTAGCCCTGTTTCTTCGACGTTTTTGCAGCGTAAAGTCACGTCTCACAGCTCATATGAGAATCGGCATCCTCCAAATGCACTGCCGAGCTATACGGCATTCGAAAATGCCAACAGTAGAGCCGTTTTAGAAATGTCTCACCAGTCGGGAAGTAGCGAGGACTGTTATATCAATCTTAGAGCTATAACGGGACCAAAGCCGTCATCTCCAGCTAAGCATTCCAAGAACAGGTATAAAACTTTTCCTTGCTTCTTGAAAGCCGTAACACATTTTAATTGCTTCATTTGCTCAACGATCATATTTTTCCCCGAGCACATGAAAGTGTCAATTATTTGAGTGCTCTTAGCTGAATTTAGTTGAAATTATTAACTTAATCGATTTATTACCCTTGCGATAATCGGGTACTAGACTTTTTCCCCCTAAATAACTTAAGGCACTGAATGCTCAAATGATAATCAGTATATTTGATACCCGCTACATATATTGTACCGTTGAATTGCTGATTAATAGCATGGTTACTGAATTGGCGAAATATCTGCCGTTTACGTAAAGAGTTGTAAATCAATATTTAGGATTCGAGTTTTTGATTGAGTTCGGTCGGCTTTAATTCTGTCACTTTTTTCCTTATGTTTTTATTCTATTAATTTTTGCCGTTTAATGTAACTATTGAAGTCTTACGAGAAATTTTTGAAAATTCCAAATCGAATTTGAGCCCTGTGAAATTAAACATGAAACATGGTTAAAAAAAAATTGAAAAAATTTTTTTTGTCAGTTTTTGGTTCTTAATCAAGTTGTGCGTTTAACGGCTGCTCTAGAGCTAATGAAGTGATACTGGGTCCACAGCTGAAAATTGATTTTAAATCGGCTTTGTTGATTTTGTCCCAATTTTTGTCGGTTTACTCGCCGGGTCAGGTTATTTCTGTATTTGTTTTGTCGATTTTTTCAGTAATTTTTTCTTGATTTTCCAAAGGGTAATTTGAATGCATGTTTTCTTAGTTTTTGCCCACTCCAAAAATTTCTTAGAGAAAAAATAAAATAAAAAATTTTTTTACAAGCATTTACATTTTTTTCGGATCCATTGATTGCTCTGATTTTTTTTGGTCGAAAAGTGCGTGAAATTAATTTCTTTTATTATCTGTTGATTGTCTTTTAGGATTGAGCCATTTCATTTGAAATCGATTCAAGTTGATGGCATAGTCTATTGTTTTAATGTGTCAAATTTTTTTGGAAAAAAGATCCGTTGTTCAAGTTTTCCAGAATGTTTTTTTTTTGCAATTTTGAATTGACTGTTTGTCCACAAATATATGTGGCAAGTTTTGTGTGGTTCTTTCTGGCTGAATTTTTGGAAAAAGAATGAATATACGATTTTTTTGTTCCTTTAATTGGTCTTTTTTTATGATTAATTGTTGTGTTGTTGTTAGTAGCTCCTAAAAGCATCGATTCATCTGCAGCCCCAACTCGCTTTTTCGATTATTTTCAGTACGCTACAATCGTAGTTGTGGAGAATGATTTGCCGCGTCGTCTCGTCTTTCAAACAGTGATTGTGGCAATCCCAGGGTTTGCTTAGAGCGGGAAAGTCCCCTATTCCAGTCCTGTGTAAACTTCCGTTCTAGGGGAACAGTTTTGTTTAAGAGAACCGAGCGAAATCCCGTGCCTGGTTCTGGCGGGCAGTTTTTTTTAACGCGGAGAACCGAGAAAAATTCCTAATGTTAGTTGGTTTCTGAGGAACCTACAAAACCCCTCTCCAGATTTTATAATTGAAGCCAGTCTGCGACTTCGACAGGTTGGTTCCACAGGTCGTCTATTTTTAGTGTTATTGGCATGGCCGGACAGTTAAGAAGGAAAGGTACGTCACAAGGACTATAAAAACAGTTATTGTTGTCTTCATCGATTCTCGATAAGTAGCTGTTGAGATGAGCGTTATATCCGCAGCACAGTTGAGCAAGAAGGTATCTGGTACGAAGAGGAAGGCGACTTTCTTCCTGTGCACCATAATTGAGAACACTACGTTCAACAGCTTTATAAGTAACACAAAGTATTTCTATACTGTAGCCACAGTTAGTACCAGAAAGTTTTTCCAGTAAGTTGTTCCTCGTTTTTAGTTTGTTCATGATGTTGCTAATGTGGTATTTAAAAGACCAAAGATTATCAAAAGTTGCTAGGGTTTCGGGTTTTTGCCTGTTGGTAACAAGTTCTCCTTCATGCCGACATCAGTTTTGTGTTTGGTCCAATTTGTGAGGACAGTTGGTGTGGTTTTGTCGGCTAAAAGTTAAGGATTTCGACTTTCCATCCAGTTCTAGAGTTCTTTTAAACATGGTTGGACGGTTGTATCTAGTTTTGAGATATCAGGACCTGTAGTAGTAATGGCGATGTTATCAGCATATGTGGTATTTTTTTGTTGTTTGATGATGGGAGAGGCATAGAGGACATGTATATATTAAACAGGACAGGCGATAATACTCATACTTGAGGAATCCGTTGTTTCATTCGTCGCTTTTTCGGTTTTGTATCTAACTTCTACAAAAGTAGCGCGTCCTTGTAAATATGGTGTGATCCATCTTTTAGTATTGTTGGATAAAATAGAAAGATGTCTTGCAGCAAGATACCTTGATCAACTCTGTCGAAAGCTGCGGTAAGATCAAGAGCGATCAACAGCGTTCTGTGGGGCGGTCTCGGTTGGTTAAGACCATTTTTAATGTCAGTAACCATGCAGTTAAGTGCAGTGTTCGTGGATCTATTTTTTCCTAAAGCCATGTTGATGGTCGGCACGTTTGAGGTTTTAAAACTCATTTAGTAAAATTCTTTCAGCTTTGCAACTGGAGACAGGAGTGCAATCGGCCTGTAATTTTTTGTCGCCTCTGTTTTTCCCGTTTTAAGGTGGAATTATTTCTCCAAGTTTCCAGTTCTGCGGTATGATTGATGAATTTAAAGACATATTTATAATGTTATAACTCTTTTTTTCTAACTTCAGGCGCAGGCCATTGGCGTTTATTTTTAACATTTTGAAGTTTGCTTCTTTGTTGTTTGGCTGCTTGAAAGGGGTTTTATGAGGGTTCTTGGTTGGGGCGTTCTAGTTGTTTTTTGTTGGGGCGTTTTAGTCAGTTAATCTTCGGACCACGAGGATTTACGAAGTGATGCGCACGATTGGTGAACCCGCCCGTAGGTGGCACCAAACACTTCTGTGTGCTCTCGTTATTCTTAAATAACAGGTTGGGCAGGTGTAGATTGCAGGCCCAGGGGAACTTTTTATGCCGGATCTGATTAGCAGGATCTCGTTTATTGTGCCAGATGGGTTGTGGGGGAACGAGGTGACTAGCTTTATCCGTTCCTACTATAAAAACACGAGTTGATGCTGCGTTTGATGACATTTGCGGCAGAGGTTGTACGGTTTTCGGGTCATGCAGCATGTACATGGCGTGGGTACTGTCACTGAGAGGCAACCGTACATCGGAACTCATTTTTCTTGTGATCCAGCTCTCTTAACGTTGCGCATGAACTTGATATTCGATAAGTTTGGTGTACTTGGGTTATTTTTATAAGGTTTTTCAGATGTTTTGCATGTTTTTTTTCGTGAAAATTGTTTTTTTTTGAGTTTCTTTGAAATTTTCGTTTTGTCGTATTTTTTCGTTTTGTTTTAAGTTTATAGCTAATAACGGACAGGTCTTTTTATTAAACTCAAATGTGCCTGTAGGAAATGTAGGGGAAAAGTCAAAGCAAAGTTTTTGAGTATATTCAAGAACTTTTAAATTTCGGTCTTTTTACCAACATTTTGTTATCCTTTCCATTTATTTTGGTTATGAGAAGGGCATAAATGGATTTTGTGTCGCCCGAATCCTTTTTATGTTCTACTCAATTGATTTTTTTTAAATTATTGCAATGAAATTTTTCTTGATTTTTCAAGCCTACGATTTTTTTAAACAGAATTCATTCAAGTTTTTCACTTCGATCCAGACACATTGATTTGATATTTCTCATTTTTTGTATCGCAAGTGGTGCGAAGCTCAGCTTCGCCTCTGTGTTCATAATTTGTGGTTTCTCTGAATTTGAATTATAGTTCTGGTCCAGATCAGCTAAAAAATCCTTTCGGCAATCAACAACATCTCTTTTCCCAGACTAGAATTAGTCATCTCAGTAACAGTAATCACCATACCTCCTCATCGTTCATTGCTTCTTTGCCAACACAACAGCAACTTCAGAATCAACAGTCAATTGGATTTGTGAATTACGGGTACACGCACGCTGAGGAAGACTACGAGAATGCCAGCTCATTCATGAGGTAAAATATACACTTGAACTAACAAGAAACGAACGCTTCAACTTGTTTTATCCATAGAAAGTTATGCCGAGTCGCTCCTCAAAAATAGCAACAGTTGGGATTCAGAAAGAAATAGTGCTTGCATGTCTACTATTTGTTTTTTGTTCGCTTCAATACTATAGTATGCACACATGTTAACCATTTTAAAGCCATTGTTTGACTGACATCGTATCTGGAAATACTTTTCACATACTGCTTTTTCACAGTCTGTGGCAATAGTGTTTCTGGAGCTTTATTTTCAGTACGGTGATCTTAAATTAAATTTGTCTGTAGAGTTATTGCTTGACGACAATTTCAGCTCTCCACAATTATCTGGTTTCACCCGTCTAAAGTGAGTCTGAATTGTGAATATTCTAGTTTATAACTTGTCTGTCTTCGTTTCACTTTTAGAGTGATGGTTTTCAAGTTTGGATTTCGCAACTGGTTTACCTATCACTGTTGGCTTCCTGAAAATAAAAAAAGCTTACTCATATTTGCTACTATTTTCGACTTGTTGAAACATCATTCATCATCTAAATAAAATTAGCAAAACAAGATAGCCGGTGGATGAGGTTAAAACCCCTCTCCCCCCCCCCCCCCAAATAGACGAAATAAAAAGCCTCCACCCAGTGTTCAATTTAAATTGAGTTTTTGCTAAGCGATGCGTGTAAAATGCTCGATTTTGATTGGCTGAAAAATCGAACTCAGAACCAAGTTAACATCCTCCCCCCTAAACGCATTTGGAGGGGGAGGATGTTAGCTTTGTCCTAACCGGTTGCTATAGAAGTAGCACAGAATATTCTGAGCGCAAAATTATCATAGCAAAAACTTAAACGAAGTGAAAGCACCTCCTTGAAAACTTTTTAAGAAACCGTTCATAATTTTAAATGAAAAATTGTTCACCGTTGTGAGGAAAAGTACGTTTTTGTCTACATTTGATTCTGAGTAGCAAGCTTTTCTGGCAATTTTTTCGATGCTGAGTGAACTTCGGAATATATTATTTATACAGTGGTTTTATACAGGGTTTTGCTATAATGTAAAAATTGGGCGGATAAAGAGGTTGCGAGAAAGGTCTGATCTAGACAGTGGCCCTCCATCAAGTACACTGTCTGGACAGACCCGTTTCCTTGTCATTCACCTAAAAATTGACATCATATCAGCTTTTTATGAGGTTTCTAAAATCGGCCGGAAACAGTCCACACTGCACCATAGTTTCTCTGTTTTTCAGGAGGGACAGGAACACGAGTAGTATTTGTACTAGCAAATCTTCACCGTTACAGTTTAAAAGTTTTCTGAAAATCAAATTCAGGAGTATCGAGTTACTCTTTTGATAAGCCGTCATCTTTTGTTCCGATCATTGAAAATAGTGTTTTCTTAGTTTTTTTTGCAGGCAAATTAGGTACCACAAAAAATCATCGGAATGGATTCTGTGTCATATCAGAGTAAAGCCCTTTCAGTTATGATTCAAACGGCATTAAAAAATTTTCAAAAATTGTCCCCAGTGTTGATAAAAACAGGTTTGCATTTTAGTTGAATTTCGAGCGAGTAAAGCGAGCGAACAGACTTAACTAGAAGGCTAAACCTTGAAACTTTTATTCAAGCCCTGAAAATTTGTTAAAATCCAGTGAAATTAGTTTTCGAAGTGTTTTTAGCACCATCTTGTGAAATAAAACGTTGGTTTTGTTGTTTTATTGTTTTTTTTGACAAAATCTGTTGTCCATTTTGCCTATATTACTGTGTCTGTCAAATACGCCTTAGGTATAGGCTTGTGTTTACATTTTATCACACCACGTACATAAAACGTCACTAATTTGAAAAATAAAATTTGTAGTTTTTTTAAGAATATGGTAGGAACATGCTGTGGTACTTGCACAGCAACCGGCAATACTTGTTGAATTTCTGGATAGTCTTAATCCAAAGGATTGAACTTGCAATTTAAAAAAATCCACTCTTCCGATAAATCATCTGTCGCGCAAATTGCTGTCGACCATATGCATCAAAGGCAAAACCAGTTTTCCTTTAAGGAATGTTTCTGATATACTTTGTTTGGTTTTCTTTCGATTGGCAGAGGTTCTTTCAATTTTACTCATAGATTCTTTAGTTTCGGACTGTGTTAATTAGTTAATGATTGTCAAAAAAAAATTTCCAAAATAATCTTATGTTGCCTCGGTATTTATCTTTGCTCTAACGACTTTTTTAGACCTCGTGCGAACACTGCACCGTCCCGCAGACGCCCTCTGGTGAACCAAAACTACATAGACATGACGTCATCACATTTTAATGAGTCACCGAAGTTGAGTCGCAGAGCTACTCCAGAAGTGCCGAAGCCATTTCCTGCAACTACAGGTTAGATCTGCGAAAACAAATGTGGTTTTTATCGCTTAGAGCCATGGGCTTCTAAAAAGAAATCACCTCTGTAGCCTAAATTTTGTTTTAAGAAGACTTTCTATATTCTATCCTTTTATAGGAATTTACGAAAGCTCAACTTAAATAGGTATGTATGTATAACCGCAATGTTTCGCACGTGGCAACATTGATTTCTGCTGTATAACTTAATACTGGGCCTGCGGTCTCAAAACTACGTTGAAAGCATTCGCAGGACTCCGTTACAAGAAAACGCAATATCAACAGCGTAACAAATACGACAATCAGCCAATTAATATCACCAATCATCTATATCAGTCAATCTTGAGCTACTTCTCGTTTCATAGGACTCCGCGAGTTATCAGTCGAGACGTCCAGTCTGCCGGGATCACCGAAGTTCGTCGCGAGGAAGGGCAGTCTGCCGGTGAGGTTGATGCGGCAGGTTAATGCAGGCAGACACCCGGGAGGGGCTGAGAATCAGAATGTTGACGGGGAAAGAGCGATGCCGTTTTGTGCCGCCTGCACACAGATTGCGGCAAGTGAGTGAAGTTTCAAAGTTTCTATACTAAACAAAGTTTCCGATGGGTGGCTGAATTTTTTTTTTGAAATGATGGAATAAATTGTATAGACCAATTAATGAGTATTACAAATACACTTGGGAGAACGTCAAAGGCATGACCTCAACTTTATTATGATTAATACGCAATCCGCAAATGACCTATTTTTTACTCGGTTTCAATAACCGATCATTTCATTTTTATACCTACTAAATGGTCGAACATTGTGTTTCAACATGAGAGAAAGCTTTACAGCATAAACTTTCCCTCCAGCCCATTTTTCATCTATGATAGTATCTGCGTGAGCAAAAAAATCCAAAATACATGTTTCACGTCTTGATTGAACAAGAGAGGTATTCAGACAAATCATCCAGCCTTATCAACTGAAATCATTGTTTCATTTGCGAGAGCAAGGACTTGCAATCGGCAACTATAGACTTTTTCCCGCGAACAACTTTTCTTACGGATTTGCTGCTCAAATTCAGCTGCTGCTCAGACATGCTCAATTAGCTGAAATTTAAACTACTTCTTAGTTCACTTGAGGTAGTCATTAATTTTTTTAAAAAATTTTACTGCCATTATTTATTTTTTCCAGACTTTTGGTTTTCGTCTAATTGTTGGGTTGTCGGCTGATTTTTATTTATGATTCAAACAGTTGGCTCCTGTTTGATAAAAAACATATTTTGTGAAAATATGTGATTGGGTTTTTGTATGTCATTTTTTTGAGACGCTTAGGAAAATTTTTTCACTATTTAAAAAAAATCTATATTGTTTTTTCTCAAAAACTAATTATTCGATTTGCGAAAAGGTGGTACGAATGGAAGCTACGCCCAGTGGCTACGTCTTAATCATTTTTTTAAAAAGTGTTATGGCACTCGGCAAATAAATTTGGAATTTTTGACCGTTTTCAAATTGCGACTTTTCTCGAAAACTAACCTCCCTAATCACTTTGGGTTCAAAGGAGAACGGGTTGCGGGAGTTTTGTAATAATTCGAAAAACAGGGTGAGTGATGCTCCCCTGCATTAGCTTCTATGCTAAAAAAATTTTCCACAAACATGTGGCCCTCGGAAAAGTCAAATATTTGATTGTTTTGACCGTATTTTTTTGAAACGTTTTGAATTTTCTCAAAAATAACACCCTCAAATCTGAAATTTTTAATTCATTGAAGGAAACGGGTTGCGGGAAGGTCCTCTGCATTAGCGGCTACGCCAAAATTTTTCGACCAAAGAATTTATCGTCCTCGGAAAAGTCATAACTGATTTTTTGACCGTTTTTTGAATTTTGTTGTCTTTCGAAAATTTCCCTCCCTAATCTGAGATTTTGGATTCAATCGAAGGAATGAGCTGGGAGAAATTCACGTACATAAAAATTTACGTCCAATTTTTTATATAAAATTTATGGCACTCGGATAACCCTCCCAAATGCGAGAGTTTCGGTTGCGTCAAATGAAAGAGTTGTGGGAATTTTCCCGAAATAAGCAGTCAGCTACAATTTTTCTTTGAAACTTTTTGACTTTTCTCAGTAAAAACTGGTATCAAGGGTTTAATCAAGACATGAGGTTGTGGAAGCCTCTATGCATAAGCTGCTATGCCTTAGATTTTGTAAGAAAGTTATATGACACTTTTACTTGTTTTTATTAGAGAAACAACTGAAGTTATGCGTGAAACCTAATTGTTCAAACTACCCATTTCATCCTGTATCACTACAACAATTGCAAAAAAATCAAATTTACGAACTCGGATTTTTAATATTTTTTTGTTAGAGGGGTTCGGCTTATCTTATATCGGCTTTGTTAATTTATTTTGCGTAGTTTCTCGGACGATTGTTTCAAAATATTTTTGCTTCACTTCTGTGTCAATCAAATCATCTAACTTTCTTGTTGTTATTGAGGCGTTTTCGTGTCTTTCAGCGTTGCCAAATGGTTGGGAAGTTTCGGAAAACGAAGAAGGAATCCCCTACTTCATCGAGTGAGTACCTGAGCTACTTAATTGCCCCGCATGAAAATTAAATTGGGATGCAATTGAAGAGTATTTGTAAGTCTGTCTTTATACACTAGCAATGCGTGTGTTGTAAGATCCGTGCATGTTTTTCCAACCGAAGTCGTACATATCTGTGCAAAGTTTTTGTGCATAACTTTCTCCCTATTGAGGTATTTGCAATGTTTATTTGTTGATTACTGTTGTCTTGTAGTCACAATACTCGCTCAACACACTGGAGGATCCCATGGTTGCCTCCCTGTCTCAGCTGTGAGGTGATACACAATGGACTTTTGGATAGCAATGCCAACAAAACGATGCCTCCACCGCCTCCGATTCCCCGTCGCAAACCAATCGCCGAGGAACAGGTCACGTCTCCAACATCATCACTCTCTATGCCGGCGTCAGACGCCAATCACGCAATAAAACAACAGACACCACAACCTTTGTTTTCGAACTACCTCAAAAGTGATCCACCAAATGATTACCTTCTGCATCCTTTCAGTTCATCAAATGCCGAAGTTTTTGCTCCAGAGGTAGTTATGAACATTGTTCCATCTGACTGTGAATTGTTATTATGACCAATTTTTATCGGCATGGAACCGAGCTTGGTTTTCAAATTGGCAGAGCAGAGTGAATACGACCATCCTTGTGAAGGTCTGTTATGGATTTTTTTTGTGATTAGGGGATCAATCCAGGATCCAGAGCCAGTACATCCTCCTACATCGCCTGCTACCCTGGACAGATGGACCAGTTGAGACATCAGCAGGAGGTCATGCGAAGAGTACCACCGGCCCGGCCTCTGACCAGGTCAGTTAGGCCTAGATATTTCATCCTGTTTTTTCTTTTACTGAAAAACTGATTCTTTAAATGATGCTAAAATATCGTAATAACTGCTCGAGATCTTTTTTTGTCGCCTATGCTGGAATTTTTCAACCGGTTATATTTGACCTTAATTGTGAGTGAGTTTCTGAGGCAGAGTCTTATCGTTAACTTAGGTTACCAAATGCTCTTCCTTTGGACGTTGCAGTGGCCGAGGAGAGCAGCAAGCGCATGGTTGAGGCTCTAAAGATTCCCTCGGTCTCTCCCTCCAGACTTCACGCCATGGAAGACTCGCCAGACGGTGCACCCACACTCTCTTCTTCTAACCCTCCCTCTGCTGTAGCTGTCCCGAAGAGGCCTCAGCACCCATCTGTCGAGTCTCAATTGCTATGTATGTTTGCTCTGTTAAGAGGCATTAATAAACTAAAGGATTTGTTTTGTGATGTTTGTTCGTTTTCTTTTAAAAAAAGTTTTGTTGTCAGGAAAACGTCCACAAGGTTCATATCTGATATTTTTTTCGGTTTAGTTTAATGAACATAGCCAATCGAAGATTGGAAAAGAGCAATGAACGCAAGTAAACATAAAAAACACTGACTTTATTGAAAAAATCTCTCGATTTTCAAAAAAATTTTGATGCCTTTTAAGCTCTTGGAATTTCTAGAACAATTTATGATGGGCGCTTTTTTGATAACATGAACCCAACTTGAGAAAACTGGATCAATAGGTAAAGTTTTTATTCCGCTGGGAAATCTTTAAAAAAATCCACTTTCAAAACTAGAAATAGTTCTTGTTTTTTTGCGCCACTTCTACGTTCGTATTTGCAGAGTGCTATTTACGTCACATTCAGCAGATGAATTTCAATCGAACTCAAAAAGTGCAATTTACTTAAGTGCATCAATATTTTAAGACTTTCCTGGAAAAAAAACAGAAAATCAGCAGGACCTATATAAGAGTCTTCGCTACGTTCATTACTCTTAGACAGTTTATACTCTTATAAAGGTCTTGATTACTTTTTTTTGTTTTTTTTTTCATGAAAAAGTCTTTAAAAATTTGATCACGCTCAGTTTAGATTTTTTGCGGTTTGACTTTTGATTTATTTTTAAGTTCATTTCCTTTGTTAAAAGGAATTCAAAATCCACTGTCAAACAGCAAAAGTGTAAAGGTCACAAAAACGTGATTGACTTTGTTTCGAAAGTGGATTTTAGGGCAGGGCGACAATTCGTAGCAAGCGACAGTTCGTAACAAGGCATTGGCAAGTAGAATATGCTTGCTCTACTTCGCTCCGCTGCGCTTACATCCGGCACGAGAGGACTACTGAGCGTCAATCAGTTTTCCCCGCCCAATCTACTGTTACAAATTGTCGCGTGTTAAGAATTGTCGCCTCACGGGATTTTGGATTTTAATTTTCCAGCGGAAAGAAAAAAATACCGATTGGCCCAGTTTTCTCTAATTGGGTGAGTGTTTTGAAATCTCAATGTGTTTTTAAAAGTCAATCATTTTTTTTCGGTTTACTTATTCATTTAACTTTTCAATTCTCTGTGGGCCATGTTCATTTATTTGTTTGAGCGATCATTGTTTCGGGTGGGGGTGCAAATAGCAGTGGAATAGAAAAAATGTTCATTTTTTTTCAATTTCGGATAAAAAATGTGGAAATGGCGGAAAAAACCGCGCTCAAGTTTACCGTTTGCTCCACTTTTCTCAATCAAAATGTCAATCATAGAAATTACAGAAATTAAATAAGAAATAATGAAATGAAATGTATATTCTAGTCATGCTGGAAACGCAGCCAGACTTCTTCATGGAGACATATTACAAAGCCGACGAGAAATTGGACAGAATGCTTGACTTCTCTGTATTTGAGTCAAATCATCTCGAGGTCATGCGGGACTCCCTCGATCGCAAATACTTCGAGGAATGCCAGGCTGTTTGTGCATCGTATGAGAGGTATCGAATGGCCTTAACAGAGCAGATTCAGAAGAAAATGACGGCCGATCTGAAAGAAAAACACAAAAGGCAGTTGAATCATATCAAGCGATCAACCAAGGGATTGATTCCAGCTGGTGATCATCGCAGTATAGATAATGTATCTCTATCATCTCTTGATTTCAACGAAAACTGAACGAGCATTCAATGACTGTTCAAGAAACTAAATAAACTGAAAATCATACAACTGCTTTTATCTTTCATTTTTTACACTGAATAATTAGGTGCTTCAGTTAGTTAAACGAAATTCCCAGTGCTTTAGTTTGTACGCGCAAATTGCAGATTTATTCAAGTGCATTAATAGAGTACCATATCACCTGAATGTTTTGCGGTGTCGCCCTAATACAGAAATGTTTTGATCAGAATGTTTTTCAGTCTGAGAATCTAAGCCTAATTTTATGGACATTTTACATTTTTATCGACCCGAATCATGAATTACCTAAAGTTTCACTCTATGGTACTATTTTACATAGATTTTTTTCAAATGTAAAATTTTGCGAAGGTATGTTTTTAAGTTTGGGAGAAGAATATGTATTTCGACTAGCCAACTTAAGTTAGCGAAGTGTTGCAATATTACGACTATTTTTTCCAACCTAAGTCAAATATTGGTGCCACTTTGGTGGCACCTTTACGGCCTTTTGATAGTATATCCTTTGACATTCGGTAAGTAGAAAGTTAACACATTTTACACATGTCTAATTAATCATAAGAACCGAAAAAAGCTATGTGATTCAAACAACATAACAATAATAGAACTTCAGCTCTTTTCCACTTTACCCTTCATTTCAACATATCCGTTTCCATAATTTTGTATTGTGCTTAAATGCATGATGTTACGATACAAAGAATGAAAATTAATTTGTTCACCAAGCAAATTTTTATAACGTCAAGACAATATTAAATTAGATTTTTAAAGCTGAAATTCAAATTTGGGTAGAAATTGGAAAAAAAGCCAAAAACTCCATTTCAGAAATTTTCTAACTCTATATCTCGCAATTTTCGAAATGAAAAATTTATACATAAGGTGGCTTTATGATTTCTAATTTATAAAGTGCAAATTTAGTGTGGATACCTTCAGTTTGTTATATTCCAAATTATTACATGCAAAAGTGTCTATTTGTATGTGATGCGAATTTTGCCGCTTTGCATTGGCAACTTATTAGCATATGTTGCTGCTTTCTTGTCACTAGTGTTTCCTAATTGTTATGCGTCCGTGGCCGAGAGGGCAGTGCGTGACAATCCAAATCTCGAGGTCGCAGGTTCAAATCCGATACCAGGCGAAGTTATACTAATTCGACGCTTACTTCTATTTTTTCTGATTTTGTTTTATAAAACTGATTTTTTGTTGTGTTCTCGTTAGCTTTTGCGAGGCGCAGCTTTGCCTCTGTGTCCAAAAACGATCTGTTAGGCAACTTAAACATTTGGCCGACATCCATTTTTTTGACAAAATTTGATCAATAAATAGTTTTTCAAATTTCAGTGAAAAGTATGAAAGCCACTTTGAAACAAAAATATTTCGACATTTTACCAAACCTGATTTTTTATTTTTTCGGAAATTAATCGTTTTTGAGGGGAAATTGAGGTTTGGTTATTGTTGTGTTGCTCAAGGGGTTTGAAAGGTTGATGACTATTGTTTTCAGTTCAAGTGGCGTGTATTCAGCTATCGTTGGCTTCATTGCTTTATTTAATGCTGAAAATAGAGTTTCCTCAAACTGACATTTTTCCACAAGTTGAACATTTTCGAGCCAAATAAATGGAAACTGTTTTTAGATTGCTAGTTTTTTTACACTAGCTTACAAGGCTATGTTTGTCTGTTTGTGTGGAATAGCTAATGGTGCGAAGCTGCGCTTCACCTGTGTATTACATTCAAATTGTTTTTTTTTTGTAGAGAGGAACAAAACTACGCTATTGATCCAGTCTTCTCTAAATGTGTTAGATTGAATATTTTTGGATGTTTTTTTTCCGTATCAGTTGAAATCATTGATTTTCAAACTCATTGACTGATTTCGAACTGTCTGGTGGCCATGGTTTTTAAGTTTCGGCTTCCCCCTCCCATCTCCCGAGCATCAATTTTATTGTGTAATGAGTGGTTTACAAGGTTAATTATGAAAATCAAATTGTTGTCATGGAAAAATGTCAGTTTTCAAAACAATCGGTAAATGTGAACTTAAGTTATACCTTAAAAAAAGGAAAAAGTGCGAAAAAGAAAATGAGCCGTTTTTTGTTCACAGAATTGTTCCGCTTACTATTAGTCTGATTCGCTTGCTTCGTTTTAGTAGTAGCGTGTAAATTTGTCAGCTTGGCGGTAGGCTAACAAGCCGAAGTGTCTACAAACCACAAATGAGATTACCATTCCAACAAGACAAAAATTAAAATTAATACGCAATATAGAAACAGATTGTCATGCAATTGTTACCTAGTTCTAAAGTAATTTACGTATTTTTGGCTTGAAGATATGGCAGTTTGTAGATATGGTAGTTTGTTGAATATCCGCCGTAAGCTAGGAGTAGAGACAATGACAATCGGGGTTCGAGTCCGACATAGATTTGATTTATTTTTAGAAAAAAGTTGTCAAAATGTCGAATGACTGCTTATTTATATCGATTGAGCTACCACAACATGGAATATTCTTCTGGTTTAGGCATTTTTACCGACTCTGAAGAATAAACCCAGTTTTACCCACGTTCACGACTGATTTTTTCGTCCGTTGAAATGGTCAAATGGTTTTTTACGACTTAATTTTTTTATTATTGAGAAACAAAAATGTTTTTGCGAGCAAGAGAAAACAATGCGAAAATTGTAAATCATCTTTTTCTTGTTTTTAAACTATTTCCCAATTTTCATGATTGTTTTTGCATCTGGTAGGAAACTCAGCTTGACCTGTGTTTCACTTTTGTTTTTCATTATGCACTCTTGCATCTGCGCCATAATTTAGCAATTTCCCCTTAAACGTATAGATAAGGCCTAGGACAACAAGCCGACGGGACTTCAAGCCGAAGGGACTTCAGGTCGAAATTTAAGCTTTATAAGCAACTTAATAACACTAATTTTCTGCTGTAAAATGGTATATTTTAAAAATTTTAGGCAATTTAATTCCATGATGAGCTTCATTCATGAAAATGCACCCTTTTGGAATGAAATCCAAAATTTACATCGGCCGGATTTTGAAATGAATCATTTTTAATCCCAAAAAACGCCTCAACAATGTTTTAAATTTTAACTTTCCTAGAAATCAATTAGAGGTTTTTTTTGAAGAAACACCAAAAACTGCTTTAAAAAATCATAAAATTGCGAAATTCTTCAAACCAATTGTGAGAATGTTTGGCTTGAAGTCCCTTATTTTACATTTCGGCTTGAAGTCCCTTCGGCTTGATGTCCGGCACACGATGTGATGAAAGTAGACCTGTAGTTTCGACAGTGTAGTGGTCAGCCTGGTTTCAACAGTTATAGATTGAAATTTTAACAATATTTTAAGCACCGGTTACTAAGTTATTAATCTGAACTTTAAAAAATTTCTGTGTGATTTCTCTTTTAAAGATTAAACAATAGACATGACATTCAAAGGGGTGGAAAACCCGAAGCAACCAAAACTATACTTTCTATTTGTTCATTGTACATTTCTGAGAAAAATGTGGATCAACCTTAAAATTCCCCCCCCCCACCCCTGAGTGACCTACCGAGGCATGCAAAAGTTCTGAAATTTAGTTCTGCATAAAATTTTCATTTCAAACAAGAGCGCAGAATATACTACTCGAGAAAATTTTTTATACGAAAAAGCTATTTTATACTGTTAATAACCTAAAACATTTATCATTTTATCCTTGTTTTGTATTGATAAACTTTTTTGCCTGAATGCAATTTAACCTAACGAGGCCAAACTGTGCATTTTGTGAATTGTAGGCGGATTCCGCAACAAGGACGCTCCGCTTAAGCTTCTTTTGTTCTTTCATTTCCTTTGATTGAACCGACAAAATTTTTACATGTTTAAAATCTTGTCTCTGGAATTCAGGCGCATATCGACTCAAAATTGTGCACCTATCCAGTGCACAGTTTCGCCTCGTATGCAATTATTACGTAATTTTCACCGCTGTTATGCAATTATTACGTAATTCTGATGTAACTTACATGATTCTGATGCAATTTTGGTTTCAATATATGGCGATTTTTAGACATGGCGGTTTGTTGATTATTCGCCCCGAAATTATACATTCTATCATCGTACATTTCTGAGAAAAACTTTAGATAAAAAAGCGCATTTTGAGCGGAGAAAAGCAGGAAAAAAGTTCATGGGAGAGGAAAATTCTTTTGCTGGCAAAACTGCTTCAAATAAAAAATTTCACGTAATCAGAAATTTTTGCTGCTCACGAAATATTAAAACTTTTACCGTAGCATCTAACCCTAAGTTGCTGTTTTCCCGAAAAAATAAGTTGATTTTGATTCAGAAAAGATTGGAGTTGGTAGGGCAAGATTTCAGCAAAACATAAGGCGGATAGCAGTTGCCATTGAACCTGCGTAATCGCAAAAGACCTGTTCTATTCATTACTTGACGATGCCGCTGAAATTTGAATCTAATTTGATGCGACCACTGAAAGTGGAGACAACCTTTGTCTTCGGATTCTAATCAATTTTGTATCTATATTTGGTTTCACTTAAAAAAATTTTCAGCCTCTAAGAAAAAATCAAAAATCAAATTTTATTGCTAACATTTTTGCGGTTTTTTCCCTAAAATAACAAAACGAAAAACGAACACGACCTTTAGAAGTATCTTCAGTACGTCCCTTGACGCTTAACTACGTATTAAACCATAACAGCATCTGTCCTTGTTTGATTTTCGCTTTTTTCTTTTGCCCATTTCTTTCAGTAAAAAACTGCAACCGTTCAGTATTCGATTTTTCTTGCAAAGCAAGATTCAATAAGGCGAATTTAAAAACAAAAAAATCCGGCAATAAACGTTTGAGAAAGGGAACAAAAACTTCAATATAGTTGCAAAAAACACAAAAATACATTTTCGGCCTGATTTCACATGAAAACACTACAGATTCTCCCAATTGTAACTTTCCTTACAAATGTGAAAGAACTTGAGTTATTGTTCCGATCATTTGAAAAATGGGGAGGAACTTTTCTTTTTCACGCAAAAATCAGCTACCACAAATAATCATTGGAGAGAATTGAGTGATATATCATTTTAAAGCATTTTCAGTTGTAACTCGAACGACATTATAAAGTTTTGAAAACAATTTCTCAGTGTCGAGAAAAACCTGTTTGATTTTTGGTTTTTCGTCTCATTTTTTTTGTCTAATTTCGAAGGAGCGAGAAATTTTACAATATTTTATTTGCATAGCTTAAAAGCTTGAAGTTGCTGGAATCAAGCGGTAAAAATTTAGCTGTACTCGATGAAAGTTAGTTGGAAGCAAAAACACCAAAAATTCAAAAAACTGCGGAAAAATTTGAAAACGTTTTTTGTTGTTGTTGAACCTTCTGTGTTTTTTGCTCGCTAGCCGGCTCTCCTTGGTTTTTTTTTTGGAAGCTTAATTTTTTCCAGATAAATTCTCATTTGTTCCAGTAGATATGCGCATGCTTTTGGATTTTTTTTACTTCAATTTGAACTTCTATTCAACGCTGGTGATTGTGCTTCTCACAAGCATAAGCTGATTTAAATAAAACGGACACAACAAACAAAAAATAAAATCTCAGAGGCTTTTTTTCTCAAATTGGGCGAAAGTAAACAAACAGTGCCCAAAAAATCACCAGAAATGACATGGTTCAATTTAATTGTTCATTTTGGCTGTTTTTAGTCATTAAAGATTTACGCAGAAACTACAGATTTAATTGATCAGAAAGTTATATCAAAAAAGGCTCTTACACAGCCTAAAAATTTTGTATCTATATATGGTTTCACTTAAAAAAATTTTCAGCCTCTAAGAAAAAATCAAAAATCACATTTTATTGCTAACATTTTTGCGGTTTTTTCCCTAAAATAACAAAACAAGAAAACGAACACGACCTTTAGAAGTATCTTCAGTACGTCCCTTGACGCTTAACTACGTATTAAACCATAACAGCATCTGTCCTTGTTTGATTTTCGCTTTTTTCTTTTGCCCATTTCTTTCAGAAAAAAACTGCAACCGTTCAGTATTCGATTTTTTTGCAAAGCAAGATTCAATAAGGCGAATTTAAAAACAAAAAAATCCGGCAATAAACATTTGAGAAAGGGAACAAAAACTTCAATATAGTTGCAAAAAACACAAAAATACATTTTCGGCCTGATTTTACATGAAAACACTACAGATTCTCCCAATTGTAACTTTCCTTACAAATGTGAAAGAACTTGAGTTATTGTTCCGACCATTTGAAAAATGGGGAGGAACTTTTCTTTTTCACGCAAAAATCAGCTACCACAAATAATCATTGGAGAGAATTGAGTGATATATCATTTTAAAGCATTTTCAGTTGTAACTCGAACGACATTATAAAGTTTTGAAAACAATTTCTCAGTGTCGAGAAAAACCTGTTTGATTTTTGGTTTTTCGTCCCATTTTTTGTCTAATTTCGAAGGAGCCAGAAATTCTACAATATTTTATTTGCATAGCTTAAAAGCTTGAGGTGCTGGAATCAAGCGGTAAAAATTTAGCTGTACTCGATGAAAGTTAGTTGGAAGCAAAAACAACAAAAATTCAAAAAACTGCGGAAAAATTTGAAAACGTTTTTTGTTGTTGTTGAACCTTCTGTGTTTTTTGCTCGCTAGCCGGCTCTCCTTGGTTTTTTTTTTGGAAGCTTAAATTTTTCCAGATAAATTCTCATTTGTTCCAGTAGATATGCGCATGCTTTTGGATTTTTTTTACTTCAATTTGAACTTCTATTCAACGCTGGTGATTGTGCTTCTCACAAGCATAAGCTGATTTAAATAAACCGGACACAACAAACGAAAAATAAAATCTCGAAGGCTTTTTTCTCAAATTGGGCGAAACTAAACAAACAGTGCCCAAAAAATCACCAGAATTGACATGGTTCAATTTATTTGTTCATTTTGGCTGTTTTTAGTCAATAAAGATTTACGCAGAAACTACAGATTTAATTGATCAGAAAGTTATATCAAAAAAAGGCTCTTACACAGCCTAAAAATTTTTTAGAGAATTAAAATTGCAAAAACTTAGGTAAAACGTTTAAAATTTGTTTTTAAGCAAAGATGTTGATTTTGATTTAGTAAAAATGACTTTTTTGATCAACAACCAAATATGTATTTTCTTAATACAGATTTTTGTAGATTTTACTTTTCTAAAATTTTGTTGGGCTAGATTAGAGGCTTCTTTTGATACAACGTTATCATCAATTAACCCGGTAGTTTCAGCATAATTCTTGAATAATTAACAACAGCCAAAATGACCCATTTTTGGAGAACAAAATTGGCTGTGAACTTCGAAAAATAATTTAAACCATATTAATTCTGGTGAACTCTTGCGCCATTTTTGAAAATGTTTTTGCGCTTTTCTTTTTTTGTCTAATTTTATTCTAATTTGAGAAAAAAGACTTTGAAAGTTGACATTTTGTATGTTTTGTCCAGTTGATTTAAATCAGCACTGTATTCTGAGTGTGCGTTAACTAGTTTGAACAAGACTGCTTGTATCGGGGTGGAGCCCTGAATGTTCCTACTATCTTTTAAGGTCTATAAAATAGTGCCCTCTTCTGCAAAAAATTGATAAATCGTTTTTTTGTTCTTCTTTCAAAATCATCCCCCCGCACGCGTAGTAAACTTAAAATGGTAGTTTACAAAAGTAATTCACAACAGTTCACAAAAGTTCACAACAGTTCCAATTATTTTTCTGTTTTTAATTAATGAAATATGGAATTGAAATTAAACCACTGGCGGATTTAGGGAGGCAGGTACGGGCGGATTTAAGAGGCAGGTAATTGACCCCTCGCCAACCAAAAGGTCCCCCTTTAGTATTGATTCATGACATATATTTTCGGCTAACCAACCCTTAAATTTTTTGAAGGCGTTTTTGGCGCCAATATAAATACTATTTTTGAAAGAAAGAGCGCGCTGGAGTTTTTGGCCTGTTTTTTCAAAAAATTGCCTGCGGCGCATGAAATTTGGTCAAAATAGAGGGGCCAGTATAGTAATTTAGGAGAACTAAGAGAATCCTTTTGGTCGACCTAAAAAAAGCGACAACATTTTCGAAAAAAAACACGACCCCACCCCCTTCGAAAAAATCCTAGATGCGCCTCTGAACGGAGCAAAAGGTTCTATAAATTCAAAAGAGCAAAAATTTCTTCAAATTTGCTCTAATTTAAACTCGGTATGAACAAGTTTTTCAGCGTAAAAAATCCAGAACTGTTTATTGGGTTCAAATCATTAAAGAGAAAACAATAAGAATATGCGGATTATTCATTTTGACAAATACAAAACTATTCGTAATATCTATAAACACAAACTCTCAGTTATACTTTTTTAGCTTCTAAACTGGTCTTCAAATTCACTGTTGCAAAGTTTCACTGTGTCATGTCCAGATTCTTCTGTCAACTACTCTACTGCGGAGTTGCTGATTTGTTTCCCTGAAAAAGATTATGTTTAGAAAATTGCCTAGTCAACTCATGATTTTAATTTTGTATGCAGATAGGGGGATACCTAGCTTTGCTTTTATATTTGATTAATACGTCTAATTGTTTGAATAAGTGGCTTTTTTCCAGTTTTGCACCCCTTTTGTGAAACTACAACATACCGTTGTTTGAAAATTGTGCATGCTGCTATTGAGTGGAAGCAGTGGCGTGCGCAAAAATTTTTTTAGGAGGGAGGGGGGTGGTTTTTCGAATACTTGTAAAAATTTTGGCTCTTTTCCAGTTCCCCCCTTTCAAAATAACGAGTTTTATATTTGTTTTACGTGTTATTACGACTAAATGCGTGATGTTACGCTGTAAAGTATGAAGAACAAATCTGTTCAGAATTGTCGATTTGTTCACCACGCCAAATTTCATTGCATTGTGACAACGTTAAAAAGACTTTTCAAATTGAATTTGAAAGGGGGGGGGACTGGAAAAGAGCCAAAATTTTGCCCACACTTAGACAATTCATAGAAGTTAAAAACATTAAACGTCATAATAAATGGTAAAAGTTTTGCTAAATCGAATTTCGTAAGAAATCAAAAAAAACTTGAAGAGTCCAACTTCAGAAAAAAATCTCTGTTTGGCTGTACAATTAAAATCAGCTGCGGCTTTCCGCTGAAGCACCAAATTTTCCAGTTTACAAAAAGAAAATTAATTTCAAATAGACTTTCATTCATTAAGAGAAATAATAAAGAAGGAAACTGGAAAGAGCCGTATGAAGAACAAATGTGTTAACAATAGCTAGTTTGTTGGCTCTTTTTCCTTTTCCCCCCACCTCACTCAAACATGAATTTTATGGTCTAATGACAGGTTTTACAAGGTTAATTATGGAGACCAAATATGTTTAACATGGCCTTATTAGTCTACATGCCAATTTTCATGACACTCGGACAAAGTGAACAGTAACTTCAAATATAAAAATTTGCAGGTGGGGGGAAAAGGAAAAAGAGCCAGTTTGTTCACCACACAAAGTTTCATTATTATGACAATTCAAAATTAGTTTTTCAAAACTGAAATAAATGTGGGCGAAAGTGGAAAAGAGCCAATAATTTTTATAGAAGTTCGGAGGTTTGACAATGTGGATGTTTGACATATCGGATTTTTGCCCTAGACCCCCAAATCTTGATCACGCGTTCCTAAATGCAAGCTGTGGTCATAAAATTGGCACCTTGAATTGGTTATTTTGATTATGGTATCAATTTAATGTGAGTTATTGCAAAATATAGAACCATGTCCTGGTTTCATATATTATGCTTTTTTGTTACTGACGGTATTCGAGATATTTTGGACAAAAAATTATTGATTTTTTTCTTCTAATGACTCACATCTAGTGCCATCTTGGCCGTGTTCATGAACTGCAGCAGTCCTGGGTGAAAGCGAGGAGGGGGATAGTCCACCACCTTCCCAGTCGGAAACAGGGTGTAGTCCGTATCTGCAACACACAAATAACAGTGCTCACACACTCAAAGTTGAAAGTTAAAGAGCAAAGTTGTAAGGAGACGGAGAGTGCCTTATTGAAATCCTAGTATCAATGAAGGCGCATTTTTTTCATTCTTTATATGCAAGTTTAGAGACACAGGACAAAAAACTCAACGTTGTTTTTCACTGATGAAGTGAAGCAGCTTTTTTTCTGTGTTTCCGTACTTCTCTGCATACTTAATATACAGCGCTGCAGTTTCAACATATGATTAAGACAACTGTTTGAAACGATCTTACCTGACCAAAAATAGAAAAAGTTGACATTGCAGTTGAAAGCATCTCATGGAGTTACAACTTTGGATTTAAACGTTATCTTCAAGAAGCTTAAGAGCCTAATGGTTCGCTCGAATAGAAAAACTTTTTTGATTGAAGCTGTTTCCCTCATTGCGAGGTTTGCGATTTGCGACTATTTGATAAACCCAGAAAAAATTCATAGGATGCTTTGCCGATTTGGCTCTTTTCCAGTTTCAAACCCCCGAAAAAATCAAAAGGGGAACTGGAAAAGAGCCACCGATTCTCTTCGCTAAAAAGGGGAATGTAATATAATCCAACTTAAAAAGCGTGATTCTATGAAAAAAAGATTTTTGAACTCACATCCATAACTGTCCTTGTATGTTGTCAGCTGTTCCGCGGGTGCAAACTTGTAGAAAGTGTTGGGTGTAAAAGGTGCGTCCATTTTATTTCAAGGAAATATCTTCAGCTGTAAAAGTGAAATTTTGAGAGCGGTTTTTGTTTGTCTCGGTCGCTAAAATTGCTTACTGTATTCTGCGTTGGTATTTAAAAAAAGTGCACAGAAGCACGTGTAAAAAATAATTAAGGCCTACCACACGTAACAGCTTCTTGATTGACGCGTTTTGAAAGCAAGAGATATAGTAGCTTGGCCTTCTGAAAAACAGTAAATAAAAAAAAGAAATATGTAGCGTGTTCACTTTTAAAACTTGAAAACTACTTAAGTGGTTGCAGTGGTTAGACTGTTAAAAAACAAGACTGCTCAAATCAGGAAAAAACCTCGAATGCTCTGACTGCCTCTTTAAGCCCAAGGAGCAAGAAATCTTTTTAAGACATTTGAGTGTTGACATAAACTAAAAAAGATGTTTATATCAATAAATAGTTTTTGTACAAATTTTTTGATACTATTTGAAAAAAATTTTCTCAAAACTACATTACAAAAACTTACTTTTTTGCAATAACCGATTAACCGAATGTTTCAATTTCTTCTGCGTAAGCTTTTCTGCGTTTTTTTAAAACAAGAAGGCTTTTTTTGCAAAAAAAAAATAAAAATTTGTTATTAATTTTCGGTTTTTTTTGGAAATTTTGAAATTTGTCAGAAACTACCCTGGCAGTTTTTTAGGTTGAAGGTTCGCGTTTAATCGAGAAACACAAGTTTACAAAATTATTGCCTAAGTGGCCACGACTTTTCTGAAGTAGAGTTTTTCGAATTTTAACCGTTTCATAGAAACATTTTGTTTTTTCTTAGAAATTAATTTTCATAGAAATATGAGATGAGGTTTTTCCTACAGGAGCGGCGATTGTTTTTTTCTAAGAAAAGGGGGGGGGGGGGAATTATGTTTTTGACAAGTAAGCAATTTTCAAAAAAAGTTTTCCTTTTACCTACTTATTTCTAAATTCAATTTTTAAAAGTACCTATTTCATCTTGAAAAAAAGTCAAAAAACTAATTGCAGCTTTAGCTGGGCCTCTTGGTATCTTTTATCAAGATAAGGATTTGTTTTGCTTTACCTACATTTTTTCAAAATGTCATTTAATTCAATTTCGTAAGTTTTTATTAAATTTTACTGTTGTGTCGCAAGTGGTTCAAAGAACAAAATATTTGTGTCAACGGTACATCAATGAGAATAGACGGAAATTTTTAGGCAAAAAAATGATATTGACTGAGCAAAAAAAAACGAAAAATTGTCATAAATTACGTTGTAAATTCTCAAAAACTTTCAAAATTTTGTTTTATAACGCACTATAATTCAAACCTAGCAGTCAATTCGTATAATGAAATTTAAAAAAATTTCAAAAATGCTCCAAAAACTGATCAAACAAAAAGAAAAGAGAAACTTCTCGTTAATTCATCGGGAAACCAACAATAACACTGGAATGAAAAAAAATCAAAAAAATTGTGGTCTTTTTTGGTGAAAAACGCAAAAAATTTAAAATCTGGTAGAAAATTACCACAATTATGGCAGTAAAAAATAATTTGATTCCACAAAAAAAGAGACATTTTCAGAAAAATTTAAAAACAAAAAGCCGAAAGTTTCAAAAAACTCAAAATTAGAAATATGTAGCGTGTTCACTTTTAGAACTTGAAGATTACTTAAGTGGTTGCAGTGGCTAGACTGTTAAAAAACAAGACTGCTCAAATCAGGAAAAAACCTCGAATGCTCTGATTGCCTCTTTAAGCCCAAGGAGCAAGAAATCTTTTTAAGACATTTGAGTGTTGATAGAAACTAAAAAAGATGTTTATATCAATAAATAGTTTTTGTACAATTTTTTGATTTTATTTCAAAAATTTTTTCTCAAAACTACATTACAAAAACTTACTTTTTGCAATAACCGATTAACAGAAAATTTCATTCAACTTGCTCTGCGTAAGCTTTTCTGCGTTTTTTAAAAGCAAAAAGGCTTTTTTTGCAAAAAAGAAATAAATTTGTTAATATTTACGGTTTTTTTGGAAATATTTTGAATTTTGTCAAAAACTACCCTGCCAGTTTTTTTACTCTAGGTTAAACATTCGAGTTTAATCGAGAAACCCAGTTTTACAAAATTATTGCCTAAGTGGCCACGACTTTTCTGAAGTAGAGTTTTTCAACTTGTAACCGTTTCATAGAAACTTTTGGTTTTTTCTTAGAAATTGTTTTTTATAGAAACATGAGATGAGGGTTTTCCTACAGAAGCGGCGATTCTTTGTTTCTAAGAAAATTGGGAGAAATTTTGTTTTTGACAAGTAAGCAATTTTCAAAAATTTTTCACTTTTCCTACTTAATTTTGTAAAAAGATATGAACATTTCGGGCAAAAATTCAATTTTAAAAATTACCTATTTCATCTTGAAAAAATGTCACAAAAACTAGTTTCGTCTTTAGCTGGGCGGCTTGGTATCTTTTATCAAGATAAGTATTTGTTTTGCTTTACCTACAATTTTTCAAAATGTCATTCAATTCAATTTCTTAAGATTTTATTAAATTTTACTGTTGTGTCGCAAGTGGTTCAAAGAACAAAATATTGGTGTCAACGGTACATCAATGAGAATAGACAAAAGTTTTTAGGCAAAAAAATGATATTGACTGAGCCAATTTTAGAAAAAAAAAACGAAAAATGGTCATTAATTACGTTGTAAAATCTCAAAAAATTACAAAATTTTGTGAAATTTTTGGTTTTTATAATTTCAAAACAAAAAACTTTTTTTATAACGCACTATTATAAAAACTTAGCAGTCAAATTGAATAATAAAAGTAAAAAAAATTTCAAAAGCGCTCTAAAAACTGATCAAAAACAAAGAAAAGAGAAATTTCACGTTGTTTCATCGGGAAACCAACAATAACACTGGAATAAAATAAGATCAAAAAAATTGTGGTCATTTTTGGTGAAAACGCAAAACTTCTAAAAACTGATTGAAAACTACCACAGTAATGGCAGTAACAAAAAAAATTGATTCCACAAAAATCCGAAAGTTTCAAAAACTCAAAACTAGAAATATGTAGCGTGTTCACTTTTGAAACTTAAAAACTACTTATGTGGTTGCAGTGGTTAGAATGCTAAAAAAACAAGACTGCCCAAATTAGGACAAAATCTTGAATGCTCTGACTGCCTCTTTAAGTCCAAGGAGCAAGAAATCTTTTTAGGACATTTGATTATTGATATAAACTAAAAAAATGTTTATATCAATAAATAATTTTTGTACAGTTTTTTGATACAAGTTGAAAAAAATTTTCACAAAACTGATTTCCAAAATATTACTTTTTTGCAATCACCGATTAACAGAATGTGTCAATCTCTTCTGCCTAAGTTTTTCAAAATATTTTGAATTTTGTCGAAAACTACCCTGCCAATTTTATACTTTAGGTTAAAGGTTCGCGTTTAATTGAGAAACCCGCTTTTACAAAGTTATTGCTTAAGTGGCCACGACTTTTCTGAAGTAGAGTTTTTCAACTTTTAACCGTTTCATAGAAACCTTTTTTGTCTTAAAAATTAGCCAATCAAATATGAGATGAAGGTTTTTCTACAGAAACGGCGATTCGTTTTTTAAAGAATATTGGGAGAAGTTTTTTTTTACAAGTAAGCAATTTTCAAAAATTTTTCACTTTTCCTACTTATTTTTGTAAAAAGATATTAACATTTCGGGCAAAAATTCAATTTTAAAAATTACCTATTTCATCTTAAAAAAAAGTCACAAAACTAATTCCGGCTTTAGCCGGGCGGCTTGGTATCTTTTATCAAGATAGGGATTTATTTTGCTTCACCTACAATTTTTCAACACGTCATTTTCTTCAATTTCTGAAGTTTTTATTAAATTTTCCTGTTGTGTCGCAAGTGGTTCAAAGAATAGAATATTGATGTCAACGGTTCATCAATGAGAATGGAAGAAAAGTTTTAGGCAAAAAAATGATATTGACTCAGCCGATTTCAGCAAAAAAAGAAAAAATTGTCAAATAATATGTTGTAAAATCACAAAAAAAAACTAAATTTTGTGAAATTTATTGTTTTCATAATTTCAAAGAAAAATTTTTTTCATAACGCACTATAATTCAAACCTAGCAGTCAATTTGTAAAAAAAAAGAAAAATACGTCAAAAGCGCTCCAAAAACTGATCAAACGAAAAAAAATTTTTTTACATTGTTTCATCGGGAAACCAACAATAACACTGGAATAAAAAAGATCAAAAAAAATTGTGGTCATTTTTGTGAAAAACGCAAAACATTCAAAAATTTATAGAAAGCTGCCACAGTAATGGCAGTTACAAAATCATTTGATTCCACAACAAAAAAAGATAAATTTTCAGAAAAATTTAAAAACAAAAATCCGAAAGTTTCAAAAACTCAAAACTAGAAATATGTAGCGTGTTCACTTTTAAAACTCGAGAACTACATACGTGGTTGCAGTGGTTAGACTGCTTAAAAACAAAACTGCTTAAATCAGGAAAAAACCTTGAATGCTCTGACTGCCTCTTTAAGTCCAAGGAGCAAGAAATCTTTTTAAGACATTTGAGTATTGATATAAACTAAAAAAATGTTTAAATCAATAAATAGTTCTTGTACAGTTTTTTGAATCTATTTGAAAAAAATTTTCTCAAAACTATTTTTCAAAATCTTTCTTTTTTGCAATAACCGATTAACAGAATGTGTCAATTTTTTCTGCGTAATCTTTTTTGCTTTTTCTTAAATTAAAATGGCTTTTTTTTGCAAAAAAAAACTAAATTTGTTATAAACTTAGTTTTTTTTTGGAAATTTTTTGAAATTTGTTAGAAACTACCTTGCCAGTTTTTTGGGTTAAAGGTTCGCGTTTAATCGAGAAAACTAATTTTACAAAATTATTGCCTAGGTGGCCACGACTTTTCTGAAGTAGAATTTTTCAACTTTTAACGGTTTCATAAAAACATTGTTTTTTGTTTGTTCATCTACCCAATCAAGCATGAGAAGAAAGTTTTCCTACAGAAACGGCGTTTTTTTTCTAAGAAAATTGGGAGAAATTTTGTTTTTGACAAATTAGCAATATTCAAACGTTTTCACTTTTCCTACTTATTTTAGTAGAAAAACATTAAAGTTTCGGGCAAAATTCAATTTTTAAAATTACCTATTTCATCTTGAAAAATGTCAAAAATTAA